CTGTTCCATTCGTTTTTGGATAATCTTCAGTAGAATCTTGCTTGCATGTGAAATCAGTGATAATTTAGTGTGTGATTTTGAGTCACTGTGCTGAATGCTGAGAGACATTTAATGTTTAGTATTCATTTGTACTGTTGAAAAGGTTATAGTGTAATGGGAGAATAAAATATACAAACCAAAATGCTAAGTAGACACACAGAAAGCATATATAATGGAGTCCAGCTTTGAGAAGGCCTATTGCCATCCCTGCTGCCAAGGTAAGGGGAAGTTCACCATGACCAGAGGTGTTTGAAGGAGGATCTCAAGAAGAGGATGCTGACATTATCAGCTAAACCTCCTGCGAAGTGGAAACAAAGCTATAAAAGGCAGCAGAAAAGGATAATCTGACAAAAAAGTAAAAAACAGCTGGAGTGGCTAATTAAGAAACTAAAGAAGATTTACATGCAAAAACTAAAAATCTGGATGATGAAACAGTTGAGAAAGAAGTCAAGTCTGGTTAATAAATGTCTACTATGTCTTCTCAATAGTGGTTATATCTTTCTTCTTGTACAACCCAGTGAAGTATGTGTATCAACCATTTTGTAAATACAAGTGTTTTGTATTTCTAGAAATATTTTTAAGAAGCAGGAAATCCCACTTCATCATTTTTTAAGTGTAAGCCTTTTTTCTAAGGGGTGAGATCATTTGCCAGTTGTTTTCTTTTTTTGGCCCAAACAGAAAATCACAGGATATTAAATTGCATAGGACTTTGGCTGTTTTGGGTATCAGTTCTTTCATAGAAAGGGCAGCATTTTTTATCTAATTATACAAAACACAGGGAGCTTTGGTGCCCTAGTGAAAAGGAACTAAGCTGCAATCCCCAAGACAATTGGTTCAAATCCCCCAGGTGCTCCACAGCTCTTGGAAATATGAGCAGTTTCATCCCCTGCGATTAACTGCTTCTAAAAACCCACAGGAGAGTCAGCTGTGGGTTGGTTCCAACTCAACAGTACACCACCTCAACATATAGAACATGCTTGAAGACATTTTAGAGTCAGGGTCATGCATTTATGACTTGGCATTTTAAATTAAGTCTATTTCCATGTTGTTGTTTTTTGAAAGTAACACTTCTTTACTACAGTTCTCCCTATCAGAACTGTGTGTGTATTCTATAAAATCTTTGGTCATGGTAGTCCAGTTTTCCTAATAACTTTTTTACGTCCTGTGAAATCTTAAAGATTGGTGTGTAAGATACTAAGTTGTGAATTAGTGGGACCTATTTATATAACAGAACTCGGGTGGCCTAGTAGTAAGGAGCTGTGGTGTTAACCTGAAGGCAAGCTGTTCGAATCTACCAGATGCACCATAGATGAAAATCTCCTCTTCGGCAGTTTACTGCCTCCGTAAACCTACTGGAGAGTCAGTCACCTGTGATTTGATTCCAACTTGATGGTACATGACAACAACATTAATATAACAGTTTATCATCAGTTGATGATTTTAGTACTTGGCAGCCTCTCAATGAACTTGTGTCCAGATTCAAAGCTGGAATTCAGGCAGTGTTTGGTTCTGTGGTATGTATGTAATTATGAGTTGGAGTAAATTTGATGGTACCTAACAATACCACTTGGCGTCAGAATTCTGTGAAATCATGCGTTTATACTTTCTGTAAACTCTTTTGTCATGCAGTCTTAGTTCTATAGAGGGTTTTTTATTTGGTGGTTGGTTGGTTTGTTTGTTTGTTTGTTTTAGCTCAGTGACTTTTTTTTTTAATTTTACACTAGTTTACCTATAAAGTTTGTAGACATTACCCCTCATCCCAAATCCTCCCCAAATCCCCTCTCCTCCCCCTATCAAACCATAATAATGGTCTTATACAGTGTTTGTCCTTATGGGACTGAGTTCACTTAGCATAATACTCTCCAGTCCCTTCCAAGTTAGGTAGAAATTTACAAACTCATTGGTCCTGTGTGCTGCATAGTATTCCATCATTGTGAATGTACTATAATTTCTCAATCCATTCGATTGTGGTCGGACAATTGGATTGTTTCCATGTTCTGCAATGGTGAATAATACTGCTATGAACATTGATGTACAAGTCTCGTTTGAGCCTCAGTTCTCATTCTCTCTGGGTATATTTCAAGCAGTGGGATAGCTGGGTCATATGGAACGTCTGTGTTCAGCTTTCTCAGGAAATGCCAAACTGCCTTCCAGAGTGGCTCTACCATTTAAAATCACACCAAAAATATATGAGTTCCTCTTGTCACATCTTCTCCAACATTTACTACTTTCTGTCCCATTAAACTTTGCCACTGCTACTGGAGTGGGATGGTATCTCTTTGTGGTTTTGATTTGCATCTGTCTTATTGCCAGTGATTTAGAGCATTTATTTCATGTTTCTGTTGGCCACCCAAACCTATTCTTAAGATGATTTTGAAAGTAAAGTGGAATTGAGAAGACTGAGAATTCCAGAATACTTGATTGTGGTTGTTCAAAACCTATACCTAGACCAAGAGGCTATTGTGCAAACAAGAGAACACTACAGGGTTTAAAATTCAGAAAGAGGTGTGTCAGGGTTATATCCTCTCTCTGTATTTATTTCATCTGTATCCAGAGCAGATTATTCAAGAAGCTAGCCTTGGTGAAGAACAATGTGGATTGGAGGGAAACTCATCAATAAACCCGTGTTATGCCAATGACACAACCTTGCTTGCTGAAAGTGAGGAGAACTTAAAACACTTGTTGCAGAAGATCAAAGAATACAGCCTTCAATATGGATTGCATCTGACCATCAAAAACACAAAAATTACCACTGGACCCAATAGGCAACATCATGATGGATGAAGAAAAGATTGAAGTTGTCACTTATTTCGTCTTGCTTTGATTCACAGTCAATACCCTCAGTAGCAGCAGTTAGGAGATCAGGAGACATATTGCACTGGGAAAGTCTGCAGTTAAGAGACTTCTCCAAATTATTGAGGAATAATGATGTCGGTTTTAGGATGAAAGTGCATCTGATTCAGGCCATGGTCTTTCCAATCACTTGCTATGCATCTGAGAGCTGGACAGTGACTAAGGATGACAGAAGATGAATTATGCCTTAGAGCTAAGATCTGAGAGAAGAGTACTGAACAAACAAATAGGTCTTGGAGAAAATGCAACCAGAGTCCTCCTTGGAGGCAAAGATGTTGAAGCTTTGTCCCTCATACTTCGGGCATGTCTCTAGGAGGGACGTGTGCTTAGAGAGGGACATCATGCTTGGAAAGGTTTAGGACTGGTGAAAGAGAAGAAGACCCTCAACCAGGATGACTGACACAGTGTCTGCCACAATCTAGAGTGTCAGGAGGTGTGAGGATGGCACAGGATGTGACAGGGATGTGATCTGTTGTTCATAGGATTACTAGGGTTGCATTTGACTCGATGATAACTAACAACACAACAACAGTAGTGCCTACCCCCAATGGCTATCATATAGGTGTTCAATGAATGATCAATAAATTCAGGAAGTTTAAATTAGTATATGATACTCTCTTAATATATAGTAAATGTAAAGTTTATGTTCCCAGTGCGCAGCCTCTTTGCTGTTATCCGAGGTGACCTTCCCCAGTGCGCTGCTGGGGAAGGTCACCTCGGATAACAGCAAAGAGGCTGCGCACTGGGGAAGGTCACCTCGGATAACAATAAAGAGGCTGCGCACTGGGGAAGGTCACCTCGGATAACAGC